AGCCTTATGCACTCATGGGCACAGATATGTGGAGGTGGCTAGATTATGGTTTCATGGTATTAGGATTAAGGGAGTGGAATAGTCCAGTAATTAGTTTACCATAGTTCTGAATGTGGATTAATGGATTTGCAGAAGACAGAGGCCTCAACCAGAGCATGGGTGGCACCAAACAACAGAATCACAGCTTGTATAGAATATAAATGGAAAGGGAGGCTTATTACAGCTGCTTGCTTCTTCTGCCTACCCTGCCATGGACTGCTAACATCTTCAGGGCCCCTCTGCCATGCTGACTTGCTTTGGAGCCAGCCAACTATGCTGAAACGATAAGATAAAATACAAACTGTGAGTTAAAATGAACCTTTCCTCTTTTAGCTTGTGGGTATCAGGTATTTGATCCTAGAAACAAGGAAGTCACTAAGACACCAAGTTTGGGGAAAGAAGCTGAATGAACATAGCCCGTAACTCTTCTTTATCTTGAGGTCTACCTGTCTGCTGAGAGTACATGGTCTGTTCATCTCCATTACCAGCCCCTTCAAGAAATAGAAACCTAAAGTTGTTCAGAATTCTCTCTGTTGGGTGACTTGGCCTAGCCCCTTACCTCCAAAAACGAGTTCAGTGAAGGCTAAAATAAAAAGAGCCAAATGGTACGGGTTGGGGAAAATTCAGGAAGGTCAAAACTCTCAGCCCACACACCAGTAGGCTCATAGGAGGCACTGACTTTTCTCTTCCTGGGAGCTGTGTGGCTTGCAAGGTTTACCAGAAAGGCTGGCTGGTTGGCTCCTTGTTGGATTTTCCAGTCCCAGAATGCCCGGTTCCCAAAACATGCTGATTTTTCTCTAATTCTGTCTCTTACATCCTCTGAGCTCTTCACTTAGGGCTCCAAACACATGACTTACTAGGATCTCTAAACAATAATCCCAATAGTTCACGTAGGGTGAGAGTGCAGTTTGGAGGTTGTTTTTTTGGCATAGATAGTTTGCATACTGACTTCCAAATACTAAACTGACATTTTTATTACATTTCTTTTATCCAGAGTTTAACCCACATATTTTTTTAAAAAACAAATGGATCAGCTCAGAAGGCAAAAAAAACAAAACAACAACAACAACAAAAAAAAGTGTTTTCTACGTGCACTTTTAGAAGCTGCTTTAATGAAATTTATTTCTTATCTTTCCAGTGTGTTCTGTTCTGTGGTGCTCTCCAGCCTTTTCTTTTCCATCTTTAATTATTTGTGAGTCTTTTCCCTTTACAACTTTCCTTGAATTTGCTGTCTCTCTACTATAATTCATTTGCTTTCATTGTTCAAATTAGCTGTCCATATCCACATCCAATTATAATGCTTCTCACATCCCAATCACTGTTTCTTAGCAAGCCTTCAGTGTGTATCAGTGCTTTGTGCAGGATGGATACTTAATTGCTGCCCATGAATTATTGTATATTTACTCTAACCCACAAAAATATGGTGACTTAATATAATTTGGGTCAATTACATCCTCATGAGTAATTCTTCTATTTTCACATTATTCATTAAGTGCAATTGGGGAGAGGTTCCCTTAAATTTTCTTTGAGTGGCTTCTCCTTCCAAATCCATTTTGTTTGGGGGTATTTGTTTTTGTGGGTTTTTTTTTTTTTTTGATAATTTAACTCCATTATATCCTATCTTGACCCACTAAACTATTACAGTTGCAACACCCAGCACATGAACACAAAGGGTGATAAATACTTTACAAGATTCCTGAACAAATGAAATTTATTCTTGAACATCATAAACATATAAAGAAAAAGAGACAAAGAAATGATAAATGAGGAGATAAGTATGTTTTCCCTGATTTTAACCATAGATATTTATAATATATATCTATAATATATAGATCTAATGTAATATATAGATATATACCTCAAAATGTCATATGGTACCTATTAATATTTATAATCTGATGCTTGTATGTCTCAGTTAAATTTAATCAAAAACCAGAAAATTTAACATTAAATTAACATGTCAGTAAAAATTAATGAATCTTACCCATTAAAAACTTTATAGAAACATTTGCCTCCACAATGCTATATGGACTGTATCGCGACTGGCTTTTCTGTGACTATGGGACAGAGCCCAGACCACACACACTGCAGGCACTCTGTTCAGCACTGGCCAGGGGCCTAACAGCGCCCAGTGGAGGTGATCAGTCACTCCCTGTGCACGGACTTAAGCAGTGGTCCCTTCCCCACGTTTCTATGTGTGCTGCATCTCCTGTTCCCCGAGAACAAAAAATACCTTGTGGCCAAATCAAAAGTTGCAAAGGAGAATTCGATTTCTTTCTTTCTTTCTTTTTTTTTTTTTTTTTTTTTTTTTTGTCTTTTTCCCTTTTTATCGGAACCAGGGATTGAACTCACGACTGCCTGCTTGCAAGGCAGGCACTTATGCCGCTGAGCTAAATCCCCAGCCCCTCAATTTCTTTATTGTACCAAACATGAAAGTGATTTAGAGGAGAACAAACAGCACTGAGAGTCAGTGGGAGACGCTGATCTCCACCGTCACTGTTGTCCACAATAGCAGGAGCCCTGGGTCCCTGGGAAACCCAGCAGCCAGGCTCCTCAGGGAGGCTGTGCAGGGCAGCTCCCACCCCAGCCAGACCCCAGTCCTGGCCCACCAGGACCCTAACACCCACCTCAGGCTCAGCTGCTTCCCAGGCTACACTGCAGTCTGACTGCTGGCACGGACAGGGATTTCCGGGTAGAAGAATCTGTTGTCTACCAAAAAGAACATCAGAAAACCAAGTAACATCAGTAATTGAAATAAACCACAAAGAAAGTGGAGAACGAAAGTAAGTAAGTAATCCAGGGCAACAAGTATTTCTGAACATTTAAAAAGAAATTCAGAGGCTGAATGGCCGGGATTAGCTCTCCATAAACAGCACAGTTGAATACTCAACTTCTAGGACAATATATAAAAATAAAGCTCAAGTTTTTGTTTGCAAAAGCAGATACTGGTGAGACTGAGAATTTTAACAAAATTTACAGTGATAGCTATCAAAGTAAAAATGTTCTTCATTCTTAAGAATTTCTGTAATGTCATGAGTCATTATCATTGGTGTTCTTAAAACCCTACTGGTTTTAAAGACGCCCCAACCCCAAGACCTACTCACCTAAAAACAGCTCAATGTATCTTCTCACCCTGCAGAGTGCTGGCCAGAGGAAAGGGTCAGAGGTGTGAGGAGGTTCCACGGAGGAGACACAGATGACACTTCCCAGGCCCAGTGCAGGAAGGATTGTGTCTCCCCAAACCCCACTGATGGAGAGGTGCCCAGGTGGGATGGAAAATGAAAACATTAGCTTTGTACAAGACTTAAAAGTGATAGGTATCTAAAGTTGAGCTTGAAGAAACCCTGGGAGGGGTATTCTCAGCAAGGGACATGGAAGGAACAGCCACCACAGTGGGCGAAGTCAAGCTGGGGCGGTGGTCCAGCCCACAGAGGAGGGCCTGGAACGGCAGCCTCATCCTGGGGACATCAGCAGTAACAGCCCTATGAAAATAAAACATTTTAGAGAAAAAGGCAGTCAGGCTGGCTCCAAGTCTTATACAAATATTTTAAAAATAAAGGTGTCTCTTCCAAGTAGTACTGCAAAGTTGTGACTCAAGGACCAAGTGTTGAAATAATACTCTGACATGAGAGCTGCTAGGAGGCAGGAAGGGTGTCACACACATGGCATGCACTAAGCCATGTGTGCCTTGTGAGACTGGGGTCCTGGCTGGCCCCACTCTCAGATGGGGCCCGTTTCACAGGCATGGCAACATGCAGAGAATCAGACAATGTCCTGTGGGTGGCTGCAGGGTGGCCAAGGTCCACCAGGCTCCCAAGGCTGTGACATTCCCCATTGCTGTATTTCTTCTTGGTGTTTTCACTGAGGAACATAAACAAAGACACTTAGAAAATGGATAGTTTCATACCATGTCTAATGGGAAGAACTGTCTGGGTTGTTTCAACCATCAATTTTGCATGCAACAATTTATGTGACACCTCTGATATATATCTTTGGGACTGTCTTACAAATATGTCTTAAAAAAATCTCTCTAAGCATATATCTCCTAGACATTTATAATGCATTTGAAGACAAATATATTGATTTAATTCATAATCATATAATTTATGATTATCTTGCTTGATGGAATTGCAATTTTAGAATGCATAGATTATCCTTGTCCCAGAGAGGAAACCCAGTCAGACAAACACCTCCAACCACACGAAAAGTCTGTTAAATTCATTTTTATAATTTTAACAGTACCAATGAATATACTTTAGAATGTTTATGGCCCTAAAACACCTAAATGAACATTATTTTTAAAATATTTTCTAGGATTTTCCCTATTTCTCTAGCATTCATTATTACCAATCAGAAAACCACACCAAGCTATTCTACAGTCCCTAAATTGATTGAATCAATCCTTTACTGTTTCACGGTGTGTGATTAGTTTATGAATGTGACCTATTGAAGATTCTCACTTGTAAGAGCTGAACGAAAAATATCGGGGATGTTAATCAATAGCGGTAGCCCTGCAGTTCATTTTCTGTCATGTATTAGAAAAGCAGGAGCCGTTTGTTTCTACAAGGAAAAGCAAAGTCAGCCTCCCCATTCCTGACATGGAGGCGAGGTGGGCATCACAGCCCACAGGGAAATCACTGGGAAGCAAGGACAGAAACTGATCTAGTCTATCCTCACTAATTCCTCATCCCTGGAGTGTTTTTGCCAGCTTTTACTCCCTCTTTGCTAAGCTGTGCAGCGGTGCCTTCAGGGCGCCCGCTCCCAGCACCGCCCTGGCTTCCCCACTGTAGCCAGGAGAGGTGCGGAAGTTGCAGCATCAATCTTACCTCTGAGACTCCGCAGAAAGCCACAGCTCTAGATGTCGGGCTCTGATTTGTTACATGGATTTGTGGTGAGCTTGTGTTCTGATAAATTTGTGGTCTGTCCAAGCCTCCATTGAGATTTTGTATTTATGCCACCAGGTGATCAGTCCTGCTACAATGTCTGATGCTAACCTTGGAATGAAGGTCTCTCCTGCTGCTGACTAGGGCACAGCCCTGTCCAGCCAGAGGCCCACTCTTCTGCCTCTACCAGAGGAAGGACAGGCACAGCTCTGGGTTTGATTAACATCGCCGAAGACTGCCTTTCACAGTAAGGAACTACTGCATACCTTCATGGCCTTTTCATCCATATTAGAACAAAAAAAAAAAAAAAAAAAAAAGTATTCAGAGTGCATTCTTTGAGAAATCCTGAAAAGAGTATAAAATGAATGTTCATATATTACTTTTAAATGTACTTTAGAGAATCTCATGATTTTCAAAACTAATATACAAGGTAGTATAAGCAGTACATTCCTCTCCAGTGACCTTTTACCCTGTTGATGAATCTTCCTCATGGCATGAAAACAGCTCTTAACAAATTCAAATATGTCCCTGTGAACCACAGATAAACAAGTAAGGTTTTCTGCCAAACTAGTATGTTTTGAACTATTTCCAGATAAAAAATTCTTTCTTTAATTTTAAATTTATCTCCCCTTGCTGAATTGATCAGTCTGTTTAGTCTTCATTTCAACCCCCACAAAAAAGTAGGGAGATGTTTGACTAAGAAACTTAGAACACACTTATCATACCATGGTAGCTGGAAGATAAGATATCTGACCATATAAACTGAATATGCTAATTTCTCATGCAAGCAATTTATTTCACAGGCCACATGTGCAATGGATATATTGTACATCACACAGTGTGTACGTATCCATTTATGTATCTATATGTTCAGATACAGGAAAGTGCAAGGAAGTATAGATTGAGACTCACAGGCACACAACCAGTCCACTGAAAGGAGGGCCCTGGACCAGAGTTCTGCAGAACCCACATTCCGTGTTGTGTCTCCCTGACTTTATTATTCCCATAACTTTTTAAAATTCACTTGATCATAAACCACTTTATGTTGGATTTTTATAAACCTAAGCAATCTGATGCAATGCATCCTCTGCTGTCTTTCACAGTACATGTAGTCTGAACCTAACAAAAATAACTCAACTTTTAAACATCACACATAATAAGTGCAATGTGGCTGGGGTGCCATTGAACAAGTGCTGTCATTTGGTCATTCATTTCATCCTGAGTTCACTTACTCAACAGACTTTTACAGACTCTAGGCCACATATGTTCTCAGTTCTAAGGTTACTGAGAACAAACATCTCTTTCTTTCAGGAAATTCCATGTGTGTGTAACCCCCTCACCTCCTGGGGTGCACTCTGTCCCCTGTACCATCCAAGAACAGTGTTGAATTCAGCAAATCTCTCCTCATTACTCAGTCACTCTCGATGACAGTGAAAAGCAGAAACTTTAACAGCAGAAACAGCTGAGCAGGGATCAAAAGCAAAACACTTCTATGTTCTCATTCTATGAAGTATTTATGATAACAAAAAGAATGACCAAATATTAAGTTTAAGGCAAGCAAGCTAAGAAAGAAGTAAAATCCATGCGATTTTGAGACAAAAACTTACATGAACAATAGGAAGTTGTGAAAAGTGAGATGCTCAAACACAGAAAATATTTAGAGGGAAAGGAGTTAAGTATTCTTTAATACTTTTAAAATTAAGAAAAAGCATAGATGGGACTTAATGAAGTGAGAAGTTGTTCCTCTTTTATGGAAAGTACAGTGGAGTTCAGTATGGTAATATTCCCAGCACTCTGGGAGGCTGAGGTAGGCAGATCTTGAAGCTTTGAGCTCAGCCAGGACAATTCAGCAACTTAAAGGAGAGCTTGTCTCAAAAAAACTACATATATGTTTTTTAAATGCTGGGGTCATAATATGAAGTCCTTGAGTTCAGTCCCCAGGACAAACAAGCAGATCATCAGCTAAGGGCAGAACTTCTCAGTTTCCAAGTAGTTGAATGAAAGTTTCTCTTACCAGAATCTGTGAAGCTCAGGTCAAACAAGGGCCCAGAGCAGAATGGATCATAAACAGACTACAGCACTCTCACTGCTGAGCTCTCGGCCCAGGGAAGTGGTGGTGTTCTCTGTGGTCCTCTCTCCTCACAAACCCGTCACTCACGCCTTGTGAGAAAAAGGAATGTCACCAGCACTGACCTGCTTGTTGGCTGAGGCGATGCTCTAAAGCATCTGGTGGGTTTCCATGTCACTTAGCAGGCATTTTAACCTGAAGCACAGCTCTGGCATACACAAAAGTGTTGTTCTGGAGAGTCCTCCAAAGCTGATGACAGCAGGTGAAAGCCCAACTCGAGTCTCCATGACAGGCAAGGTACACTCTTGTATTAAGAGTGACACAAAGAAAGCAAATGGCAGCTCTCACACGAACTCTAAATCACAAATGCCCAGGGGAATCCTCTGCATGCAAACCAATGCTTGCTCTTGAGTCCTTTCTTAGAGAAGAGTGGGCCACCAGCCTCAGCCAGGTGCCGATCCGAGCACCACAGAGCTCCAGGCCTGGCCTGCCTCTGCTAAAGCCAGCTCTGCATGTCAAGATCCTCTGGGGGGCCAGTGCACAGCTAGATCTGAGCTACACTGCTCAAAGGTGTTGGTGATGGTGTTCCCATCTGAAACATATTGAGAAACTTGCCAGTCATCAAGTATACCAGCCTTTGGTGATCCAGCTATTCACTCGGTAATGGTGCCTTCAGTGCTTCCTGCATAAGGCAAGCTTCAGGAGGCACTCGCAGTCAGGAACTGGAAAGAAAGTCAAGGCCTTTGTTCTTATAGCACAACCATGTACTAGGAGATGGAAAAGTAAGTACTGTGACTGCCTCGACACCTGCACTGGGCGTTAACTGATGTGTAGAATCATTATTTGGGGGCATGGTGGTGCACACCTGTAATTCCAGCACTCTGGGAGGTTTTAGCAGGCCTCTGGTTCAAATTAAAAAGGCCTGTGGTGTAGCTAAGTGCAAAGGCCATGGTTCTGTCCCCTTGTGACACACACACACGTGACCCACATTCCGTTTTGCTCAAATTCCAGGTAATAAGTGTGGCTTCTCTAATGATTCTGACACTCAGGAACCCATTTGGGACCAGCCCTGCATAAATGAGCTCACTTGTTAGCAGGTCAGTTTCACATTTCATGCTCTCACCTTGGCCTCACCAAGAAGCAATCAGAGCAGAAACAAGGAGATTGGCAAGTTGCAGGCAATCTTCTGGTGAGACCGCCATTCCGAGATGAAGAAATAGAGCAGGAGCCAAGGATTGCACATGCGTGGTGACAAGGAATGGAAAGCAAGGTGACTGCAGAGAGCTCTGAGACACTTGTGGCTTGATGGCCCCCAGCAGCAGCACCTTTGCATTGAATTTCCTCCACCAGAAGTATCTGCCGCCCGGCCTTTGAGTGTCATTCTAAGTAAGTACCAGGCTGAGTACTATACTGGCTCTCTCTGTGGACACAGAACTCTAGAACCGGCATGGAATTCAAATGTCTGGACTCACTTGCACTGCATTTAAACTTCACAACAACATCTATGTGTTTAGTGACTCCTTCAGGTGACCACTTACAGTCCCTGCTCCTCTTGTCTTGTTTGATGTGGTGCCTCTGAAAGGCCCTCCACTTTCAGTCAGCTTTCTGGACTGGAGAACCTCAGGTAGCAACCTGCAGCATGTGTCAAAATGTGTGAAAGCCAGCAGGGATCCCCACCTCCAAGGCAGCTGATGATGTGGAGACTGCAGAGCACTCTTTAAACTACTCCATAAAACAACAAAAGCTGCAGGTTACTATTGTACACAATGGACAGGTTCTGAGATAAGCCATGGTAACCTATGCCAGAAATCTAACCATCCACTGAAAGCTGCTGTCCAGTCTAGCTGTGGGTATGTGCATGCCTTTAGGGACACTGACCGTAAGATCATCCTGCTTCCCACAATCTAAGTGTCTAAAACAGCATGGTAAACTACCTGCTTTGTACTCAACAGCAGCTGTCCAGGACTAGCTCATCCTGCAAACTGCGATCCCAGCCTCCTTATCTCCAGCCTGGCAATACCACATGTTGGACTATTTGAGCTTCCTCAGACGCTATCGTCATGCAGTATTCATCTCTGTGAGGGTTTATTTCAGTTAGTGTATCTGCTAGATCCATCCATATCACTACAAATTACAAGATTTTCCTCTTACGGGTGAATAATATTCCTTATGATGACACCATTTCTTCTTTATTTCTTCTTTATTCCTTAATCAAGGACATTTAGATTGTTCCTACATCTTACTTGTTGTAAGCGATTGGCATAGGATTTCAGGGATTTCTTTTGGATATACCCCCAGAAGTCGGACCATATATGGCTCTGTTTTCAATTTTTGAAGACTTCCCACTGTTTTCATAACTGTGGCCCAAGTTTCAGTGCCCGACCACAGCGTAGGAGAGTTCTGTTACTTGGGTATCCAGCATTTGTCCTCTGGTGTCCCAGCGGGTGGAGGTGGTATCTCCCTGTGCCTTCCCAAGGACTGGTGACCCCACACATAACTCTTGGCCATTGGAGCGTGGCTTTGGGGAAATGTCTCTTCTGTTATTTGCACTCTTTTTAAAGTAAGAACATTTGGTTTTTTACTGTACGATTTTTATCATTGATTTCTAGAAGCGCGGAGTGTATTGTACGTGTCTACCCTCTGTGAGATTCACCACACTCACTCCTTTTCTCTTGCTCTGACAAAGCACCTGAAGCTGAGTGACATAAAGAAAAGGAGTCACGTAGCTCCGAGAACTAGAGGTTCAAGACTTTTCCTTGTCTCTGGTGAAGGCTTCACACTGGTGGCATCACAATGGTGGGAGTAGAAGTGCACAGTGTGGGACAGGACACCACAGGGACTGGACCAGGGACACTCTAAAATAACAACACCCACTCTCAAGAGCCAGCTTGGGCCTGAGACAACACGGATCCCTCCCAGGTACAGTGCCTCCATGAAATTGAGCTTCCCACCAATGCCGCTAGGCTAAGTTCTCAGCCTGGAGGCCAAGTTTCCCACACACCATGTCCTGAAAGACTCACTCTGACCCTCAGCCATAGCCCATGGCTCATGAATGCACTCTCCCAAGGCCCCAGCACGCACCTTTTCCTTCTGTCATTCTTTCCTTTCTTGTGCAGAATGCCTCTAGTTTGTTGGAATTCCGTGTGTCTATTTTCTTTTCTTTGATTTGCTGATGTTGGAGCTATTGAAGCTGAATACACATGCAGGGCTGTGGCATGGCCTAGGCATGTCTGAACTGAGAATAAGGAGATGCCTCAGGGGGAAAGATAGGCCGCAGATGAAGACACCTGGCTCTGACCACAATCAGTAAGGTAGACATTGTTGCTGCAGGCATTTCACTCCTGTAATGGAAATCACCCAGAGACTTTCTCCTAAGATAATCCTTAATTAGGATCATCTGTTACTTGGAGAGGTCCTTGAACCCCTCTCAAGGTTCTGCTCAGGTTGCTTGCATTTTCTACTCTATCCCCTTCCTTGTTTGAATACTAAATAAATATGGGCCACCCAGAGACATTCCTGTAGAGTCTTAAACTATGCAGAAGGTTTTGATCCTCCCAGAGCCCTAAAATCACACTACTTGTCTCATTTGCTTACGCCTTCACCATACATTCATTTGGGAGATTGGGAGTTGTCTTAGTTACTTTTTACTCATTGCTGAGACAAAATACCTCATACCCAAAGTCAGGGAAGGAAAGGTTTATTTCATGAGGGTTGGAGGTTTCAGTCCATACTCAGATAGCTTCAAGGCAGGGTGGCATGGTAGGGCTGCAGTTCATGGCAGCTGCAAACAGCAAGGCAGAAAACTGGAAGGAGAAAGAGACACACCTTCTTCCCGCCATTACATGATATCCTGGCTCCACCCCTAGGTGGCTGTAGCACTCATACCACTAATCTGAGTGCTGGACAAGGAACCAATCACAAATGCTAGGTTTGGTCCATTCCATAATTCATGAGGCTTGGGAGCCACTGACATAAACCATGATATTCCAACCCTGGCACCCAAAGGCTCATTGCACATCTTTTATACAAAAGACATTTAACCACCTCCAAGAGTTATCAAAGTCCTAACAGTTTTAGCATTGTTGAAAAGTCCAAGTCACAAGTCTCCTCCAAGAACTATGGCTAACTCTTAACTATCACCCCCTGTACAAATGAAACAAGACTAACATTTCCAAATGCAAAGGCACAAGATAAACATTACCATTCCAAAAGTTAAAAAATGGGGAATACAAAGCATTAGAAACAAAGCAAGTCCAACATTCAGCAGGGTGAACATTAAGTCCTAGAGTTCCATGCTGGACATCTGAAGCAATCTGGTTGCAAGCTTCAAAAGGTTGAGTGATTCCACCCCTGCCATGCTTCCAAGGATTTCAGCCCCCCCCCAGCTTCTCTCTTAAGCCCCCTCTGCTTGGTTTTTGCAGCTTTTCTTGGATGATCCAGGTTCATGGCTTTTCCAAACTTCTGGGGTCTCCACTGCATCTTTGGCTTCACCCTTACATCTTTACATATTGCCCTCTCAGGGGCACACTGCTTGGCCTTCCAGGCCTTTTGTGACCAAGGTGGAAGCTGTCTTACCCTCAGAATTTGTGCATTTTCCTTGCAACCAAAATCAGTGCCAAATGGATGCCACCAAGGTTTGCTGCCACCTGGAGCAGTAGCCAGGCTTTTCTCTCTCTTGACTGTAGGCATGGAGTGCCTGGATCACTGGATTTTGTGAACCTGACTGTGAGGAAAAGCTTCTCCATGTTTCTACCATTGTGGAACCCCATGTGACCTTGGTCACCATTGTGGAGCATGGTGTTCTGCAGCTTTCTCCTCTGAGAAAGTCTTTCATTTTTGCAGTTTTGAGGCTGCAAAGAATGGAGACCCACTGCTTCCTGGGATGCCCCTGGTCATCTTTTTTAATTCTCTGTTCCTTCTCAGCAATCAAAGTTTCAGCTCTATCTTTATAATTTGCAGCTTTACTGGATTTTTCCTTTTGGCCAAACTCACAAAATTTTAAATTATCCTGCTGGGCTTTTTGCTCTTGATTTGCAACATATATCTGGCTAAAAGCCCCCACTCCAATAGCCATGCCGCAGCCTCTATATTCTGCTGCCTTGGAATTTATTTTGCCGGATTAATCAGTCTTCTGCCCTTAATCTCAGTCTCTGGGAAATTCTCTGGAGAGAAGTAACATGCAGACAAACTTTCTGTCAAGCCATAACACACATCAAATGGAGTCCAGCAACAAATGCAGTCCTTCTTTCCAGCATGAGTCTGGTCCAAGTCTGGTCTTTACCAGCAGGCTTTTTACCTGCCTTCTTGTCTGCTGAGCTTTGACCTGATCTACTCTACAGAACCTAAGCTGTTCCAGTTCTATGCATTCAGGTGACATCTCTGAACCTTTCCAAACTCTGGCCACAAGCCATTTCCAAAGGCTCTCAAACTACACGGTCAGGTATAGTCAGAGCAAGGAACCCACTCCTCTGGTACCAAATCCTGTCTTAGTTACTTTCTACTTGTCACTGAGACAAAATTCCCAGTACAAAAGTTAGGGAAGGAAAGGTTAATTTTTTATGGCTCTTGGAGGTTTCAGTCCATACTCAGATGGCTCCAAGGCAGGGTGGCATGGTAGGGCTGCAGTTCATGGCAGCTGCAAACAGCAATGCAGAAAACTGGCAAGAGAGAGAGACATTCCTTCTTCTTTCTATTACATAATATCCTGGCTCCGCCCCTAGACGGGTTTAGCACTTACACTACCAATCTGTGCGCTAGACAAGGAATCATTCACAATTGCTAGATTTGGTCCATGCCATAATTCATGAGGCTTGGGGCCCACTGACATAAACCATGACAGGGGTCTAGACCAGGTCCCCAGTAGCCTGAACTTTTTGTGTCATATCTTAGAAGCCCTGCAAGGCCAATCAAAAAGATTCTCCCTGTTCTCTTCTAGGGGATTTATGGTTGTAGGTCTTACATTTAAATCTCTACTCCATTTCAGGTCAATTATTGTACATTACAGAAGGTATGAGTCAAATTTCATTCATTTGCATGTGTGTCCACCACTGTTCATTAAGAAGATTATCCATCCCCAGCAGGTCTTCTTGGCACCTCTGTTGCAAGCCAGTTAATCTGTGCTCCTGGGTTGATTTCTGGACCATCAGTACTGTTAGATCAGTCTGCACACTATAAAGCACTGTCAGTACCTAGTTCAAAGAAGATGCCCACGCAATTGAAAGTGACTGCCTTTTACCTGCAGCCCATATTCCTGAGTTTAGCATTCCCCCGCTCCCTAGTGTAGTGATTGGGCCTTCAAAAATTTCCCCACCTGTGCAGTCTCCACTCTTTCCAGTGCAGTTCAAATCAAGCTTCCATTATGCACCAGGCTTTCTGCTAAGAATATGATGTTCACTATTCACTGGTACATGGATCCAATTCTGGCACAAGGTCTATCTTGTCATGGCAGGTGTAAATGCAGAAATCTCAATATAGTTTGTATGGTTCAACAATGAGAGCATGATCAGATTCCTAACAACACACAGAGACCCGAAACCCATCCTTCAAAGTTAAGGGTGATACAGGGGCTGGGGGTTTAGCTCAGCGGCATAAGCGCCTGCCTTGAAAGCAGGCAGTCGTGAGTTCGATCCCTGGTACCGATAAAAAAAAAAAAAAAAGGAAAAAGACAAAAAAAAAAAAAAAAAAAAAAAAAAAAAAAAACAAAGTTAAGGGTGATATTGTGCTGCAGTTGGTACCTAAGCCGAATTTCTAAGGACAAGAAAAAATTAATTAAGCTAACAATAGGCTTGGGGAAAATGTTCCGGTGCCTGGTGGGTAGAGGAAGAATATTAGCAAAGGCAGCATAATGTAAAACGGTCTGCAATCAAGGAGAGACATTGGACCGGTGCTCAGCGGACAGGACTGTGGACCACAGGAAGAACAGAGGTGATGGAAGGCCCTTGAGTTACTGCCAGAAAGGTCATAGAGTCCATTTGCATTTGTGTCTGCCTACATGCTCACACCCTGTATCAAAACACACAGCTGTTTCTTCAGCATGAGAAGGCATGTTGAGATTTGCTCATTATTAAAATAATGACAAAGTTTATCAACTTTTTTGAACTATATTAGAGAAAAGTAACACTACACTCAATTATTTACCAAAATCTTGTTTTCCAATTTTCTTTTCTAATTCAAAATGAGATTTATTGCTTATTCATCATTATCTTTTATTTCCTGTGAGGGACGAGGTGTGGAGAAGCGTATGTGTACGCATGTTGCTGGGGATCGATTACAGGGCCTTACACTGCCAGACTAGTGTGCTACTATTGAGGTCTCCTCAGGCCCCTTTACTTATCCTCTGATGTAATTGGAAAAGAAAGGTGTATAATAAATTAATATGAAATTTGCCTAATTCTGGGAATATCTTTGAAGGTAAGGTCATAAAAATGAAGGTCTTCATGTTTCAAAGTAGAAAAGACATTGAAAGCCATTGGTAATTAGCACAAAGACAGAACCAGCAGTGAAGATTCAGATGGAAGGAATTTCAGAGCCTGTCAGTGACTCTTTTTTTTTTTTTTTGTCTTTTTCCTTTTTATCAGTACTGGGCATCGAACTCACGCCTGCCTGCTTGCAAGGCAGGCACTTATGCTGCTGAGCTAAATCCCCAGCCCCTGTCAGTGACTCTTGCCAGTCTCCCTAGGAGCCCACTCCACTGCCTGCATCCCCCTCTGCCTGTCGACCTGAACACCCTGGGTCCCCAGCACCACCCAGCCTCAGTCTCAGACCGCATCCCTGTCTCCAAACACCAGCCTTTTCTCCCTCGTAAGACAGGCTGCAAACCAAGCATGTTATCGTTACCTAGCATATTTGCTTTCAATTTGTTCTTTGTGCTTTAATCTTGTCTCCCTGCCAGGTTTTCGAGTACTGTAATGCAGGCTGTGGTAGTTTTTCACCTTTCTTGTATCTTCAAAGGGCAGGCTTTATCCAGAATCAATGGAAATTTCATTTGGCCTGTAGTCCTTTTGCCTTTCCTTCTGAACTGCTCTTATCACTCTTGCTACATGTGAACAAAAGAGAGAAAATGGATATGGAATCCTATCTGCATCAGCCATGCGCTGGCACAAGAGTCCTTTAATCAGGCATCTCTGGGGGAGCAAAGCACCTTCTCCGGTGGCACCTTCACTTTGCCTTTGTTACCAGGCCTCTAACAGAGGGACAGGGTAGTTCGTTTATCTGGGACAGTATTTGGTCCCTAGAATTCACTCCTGTCACCATCTGCCCTCTCCTTTGAACATCATGAGTTGAGGCCCAGAAGTATGTTTCCTAAACTTTGTTCTCTCCAGAGCCCACATGAGGCTTTAACTTCAGGAGAGGTAAATTTGTGTGAGACAGGCACCTCCACTGCATTCTGTTCCAGAGCAGAGCGACTGGCTGAGCAGCTTTGGCCAGCTGTGACGCTGCATAGTGGCTCCTGGTGTCAGTACTGACAGCACTCAGCCCACAGCAGGAGGATGGGAGGAAGCTTTCCAGTGATTTCTGAAGAGAGAGCCACATCAGGCTACGGGCTTCCTGAACCATCCCTGATGCTCAGGGTTCTTCTTGGCCTCTTTCCCCTTGAGTGTCTGAGAATTGTTGCTGGCACTGGATTCTTCTCTGCCCTAAGCACCCAGGTGGTTTAGTCCCCGCTGACCCACAGTCATCCTGCTCACACTGCACAGCGCTTGTCTCCAGGAAATACACACATTGATGAATTTCACTGTGCAGCTTTGGAAGACCGTGTACTTGCTACGATATTCCTGTACTGCTTGTGTAATCCTCCATTGGCTTCTTGGAGTAACTAGTGTGGAATTTCTAAAATGGATAAAATTTATTGGTGTATCTTTAGAGAGAGAACTGAGATAGGAAAATAAGAAGTTGTGTTTAGAACCAGAACAGCCTTGGGAGAAACAAAAACTAATATGCAGTGTGAGCAGTGGAGAAGCAGGCAGACATATTTACTGAGGGCTGTACCAGGAAGAAAAGGAAACCACGGAGCTGGCTGTGCTTGGGAAGCAAACTCAGTGGTCAGGAATAAGCGCACATTTACCATGAGCTGTTACATCCGCAACCAAAGTGAGTCCAGCTCCCTCCCAATGTGGGAGCTACTTCACCCCAGAAAACAGAGGCATTGTCATTTTTGAGGACTGTGATTTTGTTGTCAGTTGCTGTTCTCTGTTTATGGACCCGCTTATTCAGTAGTTGTTACCTGATCACTGATGACATGCAATCATTCTTAGAGCACAGGAGGGACACCACAGCACTGACAAGGCCACTGTCTTCCTAAAGTGTCTAGATGTGTAATGCTGGATTGATGGTGTCAGGTTTTGAGACATTTAGAAGCTTAACTAAATTGACTCAGCAACACTCCACCCTAGAGCAGCTCATTACCTGGACAGTATAAATGCTGCTGTTCCTGGGAAGAGCTCCAGTCATCACCCTGACCTGGGTGCCAAGGACCTTCAGCCTTCTCTTCTTGACCCTTCAGCCTCCCATCACGGACCCATCGACCTCCTGATGCAGACTTGCACAGACACTGCAGTGAGCTCCACACCCTAGACTGCACCTTCAGCTTCCGTGCACAGATGTCCTTTGCACACTTCCTGTTCTGACTCTGTGGTGACCACTGTAAGCCGATCTTATCATTTCTTACACATTTGTGTATCTTACATTACATTTCCTCTCTAGTAAACCCTGATACAATATGGATAAGCAAATAAGAAGATCTCACAATTTAATAACAAGTTATAATTAATTAAATAAACTATTAGGTGGACTCTTTATAGTGTTGGTGTGGATGTTTTATTTTGTGTACAGGGTCCTTCTAAAGGCTCTCCAAGAAGTTGATTTTAGAACTGATATCTGAAAGACAAAGAGCCAATAAACACTAATGAAAGGAAGACTTTTCCAAGCTTTTCTTGGGGTGAAGAGCATGCCTAATGCCCAGTGAGCTGGCTGTTTAAAGGAAGGGTTAAAATGAGGAAATGTGTGAGGCATGGGGAAGCTGCACAGGCATGGTGTGAGGTAAATGCCAACCCAACCTGCCTCGGGACCAGCTGGGGATGGAGAAGGACACTTCTGGGTGCATCTTGGAGGCCTGGTCTCTGGTCTGTCTCTGGTACTCTTCTCCGGCTGCACTTCCAGGCCACCCTGACCTGAGCAGATTTACTGCCATGCACACTTTCTCCATATTTCTTCTAGCCTACAGCCAGTCTAGCAAAGCTGCTCAAATTAAGCCTCCTCATCTTTAATGTGTGGGTATCAGATATTTTGTTTCAGCCACAAAAATAACTGATACCCTAAGTAAGCAAGATCTATAACTTGTGAGGTTCTGAAAGCCACGGTGTGGGAGAAACTTGAGTCCTTTTCCTTGTAAAGCAATAGATAAACACAAAACTAGCTGGCAGTGCACACGCTTTGCCAAATTTCAATCACACACACACACACACACACACACACACACACACACAAATGGAAGAAGGTGGCCTCCCCCTCTCTTCCCTCTCTCCATCTCTCTGCCTCCTCCATCTGTCTCACACACATGTAATATTCCAAAACCTGATTTTTACTTGTGCAGAGAAAAAGAACAAGTAATCCCACAATCAGAGCTGCTCTCATGCCACTCCTGAAAAAGTCACCCTTGGGCAAACAGTCAAAACAGAGAAAAGGATGGAGATGCTTTTGCTGTTGTAACTGAATGCAAATGAATATTACCAACCTTAGCAATAGAGAAGCAGTGAGTTTCAAATTCCAGTGTTTAATTATGGGGGCAGATCCCACCTGCCGGGAGGGCAGACATCTGTGGAGCCTTATTGGCTCCTAAAGGTTCCCTGTTCAGCTTTTTTGTGTTATTGGTCCTGAAAGGAATTATTTTCCTATCATTGCCATTATGCTATGGCCAAGAGGAAAAGTCTGTAGACCCAGGCAAAAAAAAAAAAAAAAAAAAAAATGCAAAGCACACACAGAAACATACACACACACATACACAGACATGTGCATGCACGCATGCACACACATTATTCAACATGTTCAAAATTTAACAGTAAAAAAAAACCTTAACAACCCAGTCTTTAAAAGTGCTAAAGATCTTAAAGAACATTTCACTGAACCAGACATGCAGAGAGCAAATCAGCATATGGAGAGATACTCCTTGGTACACACGGTTAGGGAAATGTAAACAGAGCAAGGAGACACAAGCACATAGCTGTCACCACTGCCGAATCTGGAGCACTGTCACTGGAGCTGGTGAGGATGTGAGCCACCAGGAATCCTTGCTGGGCGCTGGTGGGAATGCAAGTTGGCGCAGCCACTTCAGAAGTCAGTGTAGTGGTATCATGAAAATCTGAACATATCCTTCACATAATCCAGCAAATGCAGTGTTTGGTACTTAGAAAATGGGAACTAATATTCACATAAAAGCATGCTTACTGATGTTTAGCGCAGCTGAAGAGGAGGCCTAGTTCTGCCTCAGCCTCCTACCTGCATCTGTGTGTCCTCTAAGATTCACATGTGGAACACCTGCCCCCTAACGTGACTGAACTTACAAGTGATGCCACTTTCTGGAGCAGGGATGAGGGTGAGGGACTCAGGTCACCAGGAGGCACTGTCCTCTGAGAGATAACATACTTGTAGGGAACCACATTGGCTCTCAAGAGAGTGGACTGCACTGAAAGGGGACAGGTCCTTTCCCAAGCCCTGACTTCCGGTCCTGCCAGTTCTCTCCCTCCCACGTGCTCCTGCCATGACATTGCTCTGTTACAGTGTAGCCAGAGGCCCCTCACCGGGCCAGGCAGCCCTTGGACCCACAGAACTGAGAGCTAAACAAATCTCCTTTCTTCACAAATTACTCATGCTCTAGTATTGTGTTCTAGCAACAGAAAGCAAATGCTTGAACTTAGGTACTTAGGCTGATCCTAAGAATTAAACTGACTTAGGAAAATTCAGCATGAGAAGACTGTACACATTAGCACACACAGAAGCCCTCCTATGAGATAAAGATCAATGGCCACAGCTAGAGTTGAACATTTACATAGGGAATTAACACAAAGCAGATTTGAGTCAGTCTCCTATTTCTATAATGAAATAATCAAGGCTGGGTGCTTTATAAAGGAAAGAAGCTTCTTTATTTCTCAGCTCTGGAGTTCAAGCTCACAGCACCAGCAGTGGGTCAGCCCCGTGAGACCCCACAACAGTTTGCCTCAGAAGGGTCAGTCTGTGTTTCGGAGAGAGTGAGGGCAGCAGGGGCCAGGCTCACTCCTCTGTAACAGCCCTCTCTCCAGACCTAACCAGGGTCCCTTGAGAGCTCGGTCGATGCCATCTGTGGGCAGCAGCCTGCAAGAGGTGGGTGCTTCCCACCAGGTGCCACCAGCTCTGAGCACCAGCAGCCTAGGCCCGAGCTCCTAAGCAGACACTGAGCCAGCACACTCAGGCTGTACCCAGCTCTGCCAAGTGTCAACCTACAGAGAGGGGCAGAAGGCAATCCAGGAGAGTGGATGTACCCCTGGGGTTGAGAGTCTGGGCCACATGGCTCATGGATATTTCTCTTGCCTCGGTGTTTTGTCCTGGATGACAAGAATCACGGCTTCTAATGAAGGTGAAGATGAAGATGTCTTTCCCAGAGGACTTTTATCTGCTTTGGGAAAAGAGCACCAAGAGAGAGGAACCTTCATGTCCTTCCTACATGCCACAGATATGCTGGCACACTTTGAGTTGGCACATTCTTAACCCTCCCCATGGCATTCCTTATAACTGCCCAAGGCTCGCAGCACTCAGATATCCCCTGAGCAGATGAATAGATGGACACAGTGTGCTGCATCTAGACGAAGCACTGAAAATGACCACTGAAAAGAAATGAGCTAAAATGCCCTGATAATACATGGGGGAAACTTAAATGAATACCCAGTGACCAAAGTCCATTTAAAAGGTGACATGCCATGATTCTAACCATAGGAAAAAAGGCAGAACTACAGGAGAAAGATGAGTCAGGGGGTGTTAGGGGCTAAGGAGAGTAGATGAGAAGCAGGCTCAGCACAGAGGACTTCTAGGATAGTGAAAATAAGCTATTGTCATCGTGGACTCGGGTCGCAATACCTTTGTCCAAACCCACAGAACACACAATGCCCAGTGTGACACCAAGTGAAACTTTCAACCCTGGGGGACATATTGTGTCAAGTTCTCTGTGAAAGTTACTGAGGCATCTCTGTAGCTGCAGATTACTTAAAACTGTGAACCTAAAACTCCTAAAACCTAAATCTATTTTTCAAAAAGTTTCTGGTTCAATGGCATCTAAGTGAGACTTGGGTCATTGAAATGTCTTAAGCAAAGAATTGACATGATTTGATTTATGCTTTTGAAAAGCCACTCTCCTGATGAGTAGCAAATGCAGGTGGATGGAACCCAGGTTAGGGAACTGGCCAGCCAGCGAGTGGTGTGACCGGGTTAAAGATGATGGCAGTGAGAACAAAGAGCAATTCTATTCTCAGTAGAGATGACAGAACTAGACTCTCTGAATGTACATGACAAGGGGAAAGAATGATGAAGCAGGGCTGCTAGACTGTAGGGTTTCTGAAAAGATTCAAGGATTGTGTTACCGCCAGGATGGGGTGCGGTGTAGTGTGGTAATAGTAGGGAGAGAAACATGGGTGAGCAATAAGGACGCTTTCCTGAGAAACAATACAGGTAAGGTGCAGAGGACAGGGTGGGGGTGCTAGCCAGTGTTACTAACACTGCTGGACTCTCCAGGAGAAGAACAGTGCACAAACACACTTCAGACAAATCTGCCATAAGTTTTGCTCTCATAAAGAACGGTGGCCTCTAGTTGACAAACACTACTGAAAATGTGGAGCTTTCTATTTTGTAAAGGTCACAGAGTGTGCTGACTCCCTTGGGATGTTCTCCTTGCTTTTGCTCCCAGCAGGGCCCCAGCCACTGCTTTTTGTGTGAGAGCTGAGCTATGTAGTGGTGGCTGTGCTGGAAGAGCCACAGTAGGCTGCCCAAAGGCAGCATGGGAAATAGGAGCTTAATGGATGCCTTTGAGGAGCGCTGAGATGTTCCAACTATTTGTTATTATGCAGTACTGGAAGAAGTAAAGGTACAGGTTCCACGCAATCTCCAAAACATCAAGGAGGTATGTAGGCATCAGACATGAAGAGGATGGAGAGAAAAAGGAAGGCTGGAAAATACACACGGGGAGGACAGGCAACACTCAAGCCTGGGGAAGTGTGGGGTTCTCTGGGGAGAAGAAAGAGGCTTAATTCAGGATATGCTAAAGAACGCACACACAGGCTATGGGGATGGTCACAGAGGATGGGAAAGCAAGAGCACAGGGGAAGAGCACAGTAGAGAGGAACATGAGGAGGCTGAGAAAGGAAGAAAGCCATGGATCGGAGGGGGACTGGCCTCTCCTTGGAGGAGGGATGCTGCCCTGCTCTGCAGTAGAAAGCCAGCAGCTCTGAGGAGCAGGAGATGCACTTCCTGCTTTGTGAAGCAGAAGGATGTGACCTTAGCAACTAAAACAATATGAAGAGATGACAGAGGGAACAAACTGCAATTATTTGCAGAGCGTAGAAAACTAAACTTATTGGAGAAAGACGGAAATCTTCCTGATGGGGTAGGTGCAGACTGAATTTTTGCACTCATGAATTTTACAAAAAGAAGTCAGTGAAGTCACATAATTCTTAATGTAGAAGCTTCACTAAGCTTCATTGGGGCAGCTACAAAGAATGAAAACAATTCGGTACAAATCAAGTTTGGAACCTTGACAGCTGAGTAAATAGAGGAAA